TTGACATTTCAGTGATTGTGTTAGCTGATTGATGACAAAAGATTTTGATGGTTATTTTTATTAGCTAATAGTATAATTAGTGGTTAAATGGTTGTTTACAATCAATTGATGACTTTATGATAAGACTTTTAAGGACACCATGTTTACTAACACTAATTTGATATATGTATCATACATTTTGTTAATTAATGTTAACCGTACAAATAATTAAACCATTTTTATTTTCTAAAAATAAATATCAAGTTCTAAACATTTTGTGAGTTCGTATACTGTGGTATCACCCATGATGAGCACCGTGCTCCCACACCCAAAACGACGTAGTTTTGCACAATTTAAAAAAAAAATCGCGTGAACAGTAATTGTTTTTCTCCCAGTAGTATGAATGATGTAACTCGCGTGTAAAAATATGTAACTCATGTTATTGATCGATGTAACTCAAGTCCATTCGAAATGTAACTTATCAAATACATAATATAAGAAATAAAACATTGATTTCAATGTAAACAATGAAAAAGAGAGTTTAATTGTACAGTTACTTTATGTAAACCGTGACTATGTTTGGTTTTTAATATCATGACCTGATAAAGGAATAAAGAAATAATTTTTTTGTTTGAATACCAGTGGCTGTTTTTTTATGTAACTCATATTATTACAAATGTAACTCGCACTTCAGAAGATGTAACTCGCTTCTAAAAATGTAACTCTTGCACATAAAAATTAAATGTGACTCGCATATAAAAAGATGTAATTCCATGTATTATCAAATGTAACTGTGGATATAAGATTACAAACAAAAAGCATTTAAATAAAGAAGATAAAGAAATTATCGTTTTTAATTAATTAGATGTGGAGTTTCTCACAATCCCACTCCATATTTTAATTTACATAAATTTGAAGGCCTGCAATTTAAATTTTTAATGAGAGTTTCTAGATTCTTCAAACCCATTTTCCGTTCCTTATCTCTCTGACTAACGATTGGAAAGTGGGATTTAATAGGACAATCGTTGATCTTCACAAACTGAACAAGCTAGCAATTGGGAACGAAAGCAGCTCACCTTCGCTAGGAAATTAGGAAGGACGCTCCCCTCTCTATTTTTTATCATAAAACGGTGACGTATGTGGTACGGGTATACCATGCTCATGGTATGCCGATATCACGATATAATTTGCGACATTTTGTTGACAACTTTACATTTACATCAATATAAGTTCTAAACATATTCTAAATCATAATAAAGTACAAGGTATACGAGCCAAATTACTTTACAAGAACTATTCTTATATCTCAAAGTACCAATCTTCCATATTTGTTTGAGACTAGTTTTTACACGCGCGTTGCGCGATTTGAATAAGTGCCCAATGTGTACTTTTTTAAAAAATTATGCATTTTGTATATTGATTGTTTGACTGGCATTTGAAATTTCATCATCATAGACGAGGGGCAAAAACAAAATAAAAAAGACATGGAACCTACTCAACCTAGAGGAGGGTTGGTCATTATTTTCTAATTCCATTAGAATAAAACAATAAATATGTAAAATATCTAGTACACCTCTAAGTATTGATAATTCTTATTCATCTAATTTGCTACTCCGTATTTGTTAAGTATTACATATTACTTTTCCTTCTAAAAAAAGTATTACTCCGTCTTACTTTTAATTTGTGGTTCTATTCCACAAATCTAGTAATTTACCATCAAATTTGTGGATTAAGAATCAATCAAGATTTCAAGACCATGTATACATTTTAAGTCTTGAGGAATGAACATTCAACTATACTTTAATTACACCAAGCATCATGCAAGTCTTCCAACTTTCAATCTTCAAACAAAAAAGCTACCCATCAAATAATATGAGCTCATATATCAATATATACTTATCTCTTGAGTTGAACATGAGTTATTATATACAACGCCTATCAATAAGCAAACAATTAGCAAATAATGGCAAAGCATCTTCTGTAAATCAAATACTCCGTATAAAAGTAGTATTTCACTTCCAAATACAGTATTAACAATAGTTTGAGCTGAAATAATAATCAAATCCATCAAAGGTGAATATGAGTTTCAGTCTGCCTAATCAATTCAGCAGCATCTACTAAGAAGCCTCAATTTTTTTTTCAACAGCTGCATCAATTCATTCAATGCAACCAAATCTTTAGCCTTTATCCCATAAACTTTAAATACTCTAGCTAAAAGAATGGTTCAAAAGAATATGTACCACACAACCAACAATAAACTGGTACACACTTTACATATAAGCAACAAAAATATAACCAGGACATGTTCTGGTTTCTATTATTGCTCTGGATGGTCATGCACATCGAACACAAAATTTTTGTTAGATTAGAAAATACATAATGGAATGGATTGTATACATTATAGTATCTAGAATTTCTTGAAGCCTGTTTATGTCATTTTTTGTTGACTCTTTAACTTTAAACCAACTTATAATCTTTGTCTGTATAAATCTATCATTCTAGATAATTGATGCCCGATGATCTTGATAGATGCAGCCACAAGAAGCCCCCCTCCCCCTCCTAAGCGTAGGCAGGTCACTGTTCCTCTTGGCAGTTTACTCCCTTATCCCCATCCCAACACATTATTAAAACACTACCTGCATCGCGCCATCGCCAAAGTCAGAAAGTACAATAGTCCCAAATATACACTTTAAAAGGATACATGTATTGCCAGAGGAAGAAAGCATGATACATAATGGAGAGCATTAAAAAATTAAGAATGTCATGGAAACTTACTTTTGAGGAGGGATGGGGATAAAGACTTGCTCTGAAATTCTTAATTTGTTATAGCCAACCTCAGTAAATCTGAAACCTTATATTTCTATTATCAAAGTAATGATTTATATGTTCTCTTAATAGTTTACGTATGTTATATAATTGTGATGTTTAGGCATGTCTCATTATGAAATCATGAATAGAACTATGAAAGTGATATTTACTTAACCAGTTAACCTGAATTGTAAAGAACACTTTTTTGGATAATTACAGCTAAAAAATAGCTTGGCAAAATGGGCACAAAGTCCTACCTTGCCGTCCACACAATATATGAAGTCTCATGACTTTTATTGGTTTCTGCATCAATTGCTTCTTTTAATTTCTTCCTAGAAACATCACTCTTTCTCTGAAGGCTAGCATATAGTGGTATCTCAGTGGCCAGAAGTTCTAATATTGATTCTACAGAATGAAGAGCATTCTCACCGAGCTCTTACACTGTAGTATAAAGTGATTTCCCTGGCTATAGAGTACAAATGAATTGGTAATCCATAACAAAAATCCTAATAGCATGATGGGAACAATAGCAGATAGCTAGCAATAATCAATATGAAACTACCCACTTATCAATGCAGGACTGCATGTTATATGTGTACAATTTTGAGGAAAGAGTTACTTTTCTTATTTGGTTAGTGTCTAGGTAAACTTAATTAAGCTTTTCCCTAAGAATGTGAGTGTAGTTACTACGTACATGGGCGGAGCCTGAGGGGGGCCATCCTAGGTCCTAACCCACCCCCAAATTTAAAAAATGCCTTAATTTTATGGTAAAAAAAATTCGTCTAAATTTTTTTCTAAAAATATTCATTGTATTGACCCAGTCCGGCTTAGTGTCCTGGCTCCGCCCCTGACTACGTATAGGTCTCATTTTTTCCCCATAATCTTTATTTCACTCATATACTACGTATTCGTTATTATTTAAACTTAATTTGGAAATAGACTTAAAATTAAGTGAATTTTTAAATAAATAATTGTCTTATAAGTTCTAGCTCGTGTAACATAATTTGTTCACAGATTCAACTTCTATTTGGGAAAAAAACCAGATTCAATTACATGGCTTGCTAATTAACAATCTTAAAATAATAGTGTTCTTATTTCTAATTAAAGTATCTTAGTATATTGTTACTCCTTGATCTTATACATCCATTATACAAAATGTATAAAGCATTCAAAAAACTCATCTAGGCATATATACAAACACTTAGTATGCTTCAAAGAATTGGAATTTTTCTACCATGTTTAGTTCAACTTCATATGGGTATCAGGGTATGCATGAAAATCAAACAAGAAAAGTTAGTGGGGATTATTCACAAATGGAAGTAGCATATTTTTAAAAACTCTTCCTTAAATTAAAGCATAGTCTCGATTCTACTACAGCCTAGTTCATGATTATCAACCTCAATCACAATAGTAGGTAAAATAATATAGAATAATATAGAAGCTAGAAATAAAAGCCCAAGATAATAGAGGATATATTCAAAAACAGGCAATTTGCGATCCAAATTGAATGAAAACTTGAATGATTAAATCAGAGAGAATATACATACCATATTGTGATATGCAACTAACATGGCCTCAAAACTCGAAAGCAACCCTCCTTTGAGACTCAACACTTCAATTGTATACTAACCTCATTGAGAGGAAATTTATAGGCGGAGATGTGCAAGTATTGACGTTCACGGAAGGAAGACAGTCACAAAAGATGATCCCGATTATCTTTCATGTATGCCTGGCGTAGAGTAGGGTTATAGGGTCCTTGTAGTTGAGCAAACAGAGACGCTGCACTGCTTGAACTTCATTGCAGGGTAAATAGCTCCAAAGAAAAAGGTCACTACGAACTGGAGAAAATGGAAAGACATACCTTGATGGCTAGCGCACAACATGGAAATGATGGAAACGATGGGAGTAGCTGGTGAAGTTAGGGCGCAATCCAGACTCGAAGCACTGAGATATAATACGAATGGTCTATGTCACACGACGGAAGTAAAACGGGAAGTTAAAATCCTTGGATAGAGTGCAGAGGATTAAGCGTGATGTACCATTCAATTAAGCAGGGCATTACACCAACATTTTTTCTATCCCTTAAATGCCCTAATCTTCATTGGCAATTATAAGTTTGTAAGATTTAAAGTTGATTGATCGAGTTATAAGTTTTGAATAAAATATTCTTTATTCTTTGGTGTTTTTGTTTTTAAAATCCATTCATCAAATAAGTTTGTCTGCAATAGTTGACCAGATTGCCATCCCCCTCCTTTTACGTCTTCACACAGAAAACCCCTCTTCCATCCTCCGAGCTACAATACAAATTATATAGACCAGAAATTCACAAAATTTGTATTTTTCTCGGAGAGTGATTGAGAGAGAGAAAGGGGGTGGGGACGGCGGAATGGGAAACTCCTTTGGGTGCTCTGCATCGGGGGAGAGATTGGTGTCGGCGGCAAGAGACGGCGACTATGTAGAAGCAAAGATGTTGCTGGATTGCAACCCTTATTTGGCCAAGTACTCAACTTTCGGCGGTCTCAACTCTCCCCTCCATTTTGCAGCCGCTAAGGGCCATAACGAGGTTCATCCCTTTTTTTTTTGATTTTTTTGACTTGTTTTTTGCTAGTATTGCCATTCGGTTTAATGTGGGAATTGATTTTTTAGATTGTGGCTTTGTTGCTTGAGAATGGAGCTGATGTGAATTCAAGGAATTACTGTGGCCAGGTATATGATCTGTGTTCTTTGAGCTGATCAATTATTGGTAATTTCTTTTGGTGGAGGAGATCAGCTTCAATTTAGATTTTGAGATTCTTTGATAATCTTGGATTTTCTTTCTCAGACTGCATTGATGCAAGCATGCCGGTATGGCCACTGGGAAGTTGTTCAAACTCTTCTTCTTTTTAGATGCAATGTGAGTTTAGTTTCCCTGTACTGAGTTTCTTCATTCTTGTTGGCTTATTCTCATATTTTTTGAGTATTAAATTCTGATCTTTGCTTATGAATGTAGTAATAAGTGGTCATTTGGTAGCCAGTTTCTTAGGCTTGTAAGTCTTACCAGCCAAACATTTTTTAGTAAACACTACTCCTGCTGTCCCAAAATACTCTTCTGGTTTCCTTTATCCTTCATCTAAAAATTTTTCTTATTACTTTCAGGAAAGAATTGTGTGATTTCATATAAATTATACCTTTCCAAATGAATCTCAACCACACAATACTCAATTTCGCTACCTCAATAACAGTTTAAAAACTACTCCATATGGGAAGAACATTATGTGACGGAGGGATTATTTGTTTTGATTATGCATGCTAAATTGGTTAACAATGAAATAAATATGGCTAGAGGTGTTTTTATTTAGTTAATCATTTTAGCATTCTTGTCACATCCTTTCTCTTTATTTTGACATTAGTTTTTTCAAAATCCATCAATTTTAGCCTGAATGATATTTACCAAACGGACTAAGTTTATAGCATTGTGAATTTGTGATCACAAGAAAGTTCTCACAGGGGAGATATTTTTTATTCAAATGAAAGTATATTTTCAACTCTGATATCATATGCCATATTGTCATTCATGTTAGCCGACCGAAAAACTCTTTTGGGAATAAGGCTTGGTTATCGTTGTTGTTACTAAATGTATTTTTTCAAGAATTGGTTGTATAAAGAGCCAAAAATCACAGTGTAGCATTCTTTTAGGTTACAAGAGCAGATTATCTAAGTGGGAGGACTGCTCTTCATTTTTCTGCAATGCACGGACATGTTAGATGTGTGAGATTGGTGGTGGCTGATTTTGTCCCAAGTGCCCCTTTTGAATCTCTAAATGCTGACTCCAATCCCAGTAGAAGTGACACTCTACATTCAAAAAACAAGAATGAACAAGGGTGAGTGATTCATTTTTGCTTCATTGACTGGCGTACATAACTTGGGAGACTATGAGTCGAAGATGTAACAGATTTGGTAGAGATTTTGTGAACTAGCCATGTGTGGTAGATCTAGGGAACACCTGCAGTAAAGATGCACACAAAGAGGGGTTCATTTCTCTGAATGTGATATTGATTTAGTGCCCGTTTGGTAGAAACCACCCACCTGTTTTATTCCTCTGAAGGTGTTCTATCAAAACCTGGTTATTTGATTGCATAGCTAAATTACCCAATAATAATAAAATAGTGTGGTAGTCACTTTTTTGGATGAAATATCTGAATAAAGAAACCTTTTATTACAAGGAACCTTTAGTAGAGTCAATTCATTGTTTTATATGCCATTTTTTGTTTCTATAAAGCATTTATTGTTTTTCCCACCAGCATTTTCCCTTATAAATATTGTGGTGCTTACCTAAGTATGCATTCACAAGGCACAATAGAATAGGACAGTATTCACAAATTTCCCTTTGTTTGGTGCCTTCAGGGGAACATCCCCTCTACTCCTATAGTTAGAGGTAAGGGACTAAGGGCTGTGTTACCTGTGTACATTTTACCCTCTTTATACCCTACTTCAGAGTAGGACATACTCAGTGTGTTTGGTTTGCGTTAATAAAAGTGAATTACGGAGTATTATATTGGCATAATATATTTTAAGAGCACAAGAGAATGAACTACTTTCCTTGGTATGTGTGATTTTGTCAGTCCATTTTTCATAGTGGATATGTTCTTCACTTTAAATGCATTTTAGACAATTTAACTCATAAAACAATTTAGCTCATTGCTAAGCACCAGTGCTTTCAGCCACAATTTAAGGAAGTATCTACTTCAGCCATATCATCTAACTTTATCCTACCAAACGGGGACAAAATCTAGTTTATAGTCCGTACAAGATTTTGTGTCCTTGAGCCCAGCCCTTCTTTATGCATATGATTTGCTATGGCAGGAGTTTGTCAAAGTTTGTGAATAAGGCTGCTGATGGCGGCATTACTGCTCTACATATGGCTGCATTGAATGGATATTATGATTGTGTCCAGCTCCTACTTGATCTTAATGCGGATATATCAGCTGTTACTTTTCACTATGGATCTTCCATGGATCTTATAGGCATGTTTCTCTTTCAGGATCAAAGTATGCATATTTGTTTCTTATCACTATGATCCATAGCTTGAATTTCTGAACTCCGCCTATTTGTAGGATCAGGAAGCACTCCTTTGCATTATGCTGCATGTGGGGGCAATCTTAAATGCTGCCAGGTTATGATTATACTATACCTCAATGATTTCAATCTTCGAGGTCATGTTTGGATCTCACAAAATAAGATGAGCTTATATTTTTTAGAAATATTTAGACACACAGACACAGATCTCATAGTATTTATTGAATAGAAATAAATAACTGAATATAAGTTTTCATAAATATAAAAATCAAATTGTTGATCTTGAGCCTTAGTAATTTCTTCCCATTTTCCCCTAGCTTTTATTGTCCCCTAAAAGTTCATTTCTTCCCATTTTCCTTCATAATTTCTTTCCTTAGTATATCCATGGTCCAAACATACCTGTAGTGGGAAGCAAGTTTTTTCTTTAGATTTCGTTTCAAAACAGTATAAGGTTTTGTTAATTAGTATTATGGTATGCAGATGCTAATTGCAAGGCGTGCTAGTCGGTTGACACTCAACTGCAATGGGTAATGCTTAGCTTCCCGTTCAAGATTCTAAACACTTGGGAAATTGTGTTGAATTATTGGATGCTGATACATCTATTGAATAATAAATAATTAAGTATGTCCTCTTTTGCAGATTGCTTCCTCTTGAGATTGCTAGGATGTGGGGACGTCATTGGCTTGAGTCTTTGCTTGATCCAAATTCTGATGCTATTATACCAGTCTTTCCACCCTCAAATTATCTATCTTTGCCCCTCTTGAGTGTCCTTAACATTGCAAGGTACCCTGGTCTTTTTTCATATATATTACTACGTATTATGTATTCATCAAAAGTCATAGAATTTATGTAGTTTCCATTTAATGGTTTTTTATGTACTAGTATGTTAAGTGTTTAATCCCTGTTTTTATTGGTAGCAAATTACCCCATATTTCATAGTCCTTTTATTTTGTGAATATTTCCAGGTCTATTGTTGTGTTCGGTAAAATACAAGCACATAACAAGCTCTTATTTGGAATAAGTGACTCGCTTTTTCACTAATGGCCCTGTGCTTTCACAAAATTAATTGCATTCATCTTTTACTACAACAAACAAACAACATTTAAGTCTTAATCCTAAAGAGTTTGGGGATGGCTAACGTGATCGCATTATGACATCGGAGTTTCATATTTCGATTCACGTGATGTGATGTGACTAAGTTATATGGTTGGCCCTCACACACATACACCAGTCAACAACACCCTCCACTATCCTGGCTTAGGATGGGCATGATACTTAAAAAGATGGGCTCATGGCGGAGTTTCCATTCATCTTTTACTAATGAAAAAACTATGTTTACTATTTTACACATATAAGCTACACAACACTTAATTTTGCAGAACAACTCCAACCAGAACCATAATTACATATCTAGTGAGTTTTACCTTCTTGCTATTAGCTTTTCAATTTTGAGCTTTCGAGTATAAATTACTTTGACTTCAATGCAGAGAATATGGGTTGCAGTCTTCAGCCACCACATCTTCTGGTGATATAGAAACATGTGCCGTTTGCCTTGAGAGAGCATGTTCAGTGACCGCTGAAGGTCCATTCTTTTATCCTCTGATGTGTTCATTTTCGCATCAAACACATGAAAGAAATTACTTACATGAATATGCGCTATATTCTATACATATTATTCACCAGTTTCCAAAAAGTCAAACTCTTTTGTCCCAAAGAGAGTCCAGTTTGATAAAGTGAATCTAGTATTTTTACAATTCGCTAAAACATTATCAAATAAGAGTTTCAACAAAATGCCACACGTGATAAATTTAAATAAATATCTACCTCCGTCCCCCTAAGTTTGGGACAAGAGAGGCACGGTTATTAATAAAAGTGGGTTTATGTGGTTGGTATTGAATTGATAAAGTAAGAATAAAGTAGGAATGATTTGGAACCACACAAACTTTACCAAATAAGGTATGAGACAATCTTAGTGGGACGGACCGAAAAGGTAAAATGGGACAATCATAGCGGGACGGAGGGAGTAATTAATATTGAGTATGATTTATGTTCCTTCATATTTTCTTTCCTAGCATTTTCCGGGTTCAATGAACTCTAAACATTTTTTCGGGTGCATACTTTCAGGTTGTGGACATACACTATGTGTAAGATGTGCACTCTACCTCTGCTCAACCAGCAACAATGTCCAATCTGAACCGCCAAGTGGTCTATCTGGCTCCATCCGCTGCCCGTTCTGCAGACACGGCATTGTATCTTTCCTTAAACTACCTGGATCTTCAGCAAAAGAGCTAAAACTCAACCTATCTATGAGCTTATGTACCCCATGTGTTCTACACCCACGTGATCAAGAACATAAGTCTCCTCAGGACGGGCAGGATATCAGAAAGAATCGTGTTGCTTCTGTGTCTTCATCGGATACTATGCTTTGCCCCGTCACCTGTAGTCCCTTCCCTTCTGTTGCTATCCCCATGTGCTCATGCAATGACGGGACGTACACTTTTGAAACCCGAGGAGACGGAAGGCAAGATGACGAGTCTCCTAACCGTGGTGGGGTAGAGTCGACGGCAGTGACGGGGGGAGAGGATGAAGAGAAGATGGGGGTAAGGTTGGAAAGAACAACATGTTCCAACATGTTTTGGGGGAGGAGGAGTTGCACTAGGGAAAATCTGTGTAATGCTGAGATAAACGTTTAATTAATCTGATCGGTTTTGTATAGGAGGCCTCGATTCGATTGACCGATGACAGCTTCAATCACAAGTTGAAGTGTGAAGGATTTTGCCTCCGGGGTTGCAGGCTTGCAGCAAGCAGGAAAGACGGCAACCTTTGATGATTACTAGTCTATGTGCTATTTGTTGATTATTATTACTGTGTATAGGCCCCCGCCCCGTCTCCGTCCCCGTCCCTGTTTTCACTCCTGAATTTATCTTTTTTATTTCGTGGTAGTGAATAGGTGGATGTTGAGCCAAAGAGATGCGAATCTGCATCATTTAACAGACTCAATGGACTACAGAGACTACTTTTTCTACTAAAATACAAATACAAATGTACATCAATCCAATTTATTTCTCCTTGTGTGGTCAAATGTACTCATAGCTGATGGTCACCAAGCAAAAATGGTCCGACATATGTACTATGGAATACTATAGCAAAAATCAGCTATGACATATACTCATAGCTTGATGGTCACATAGCATGAGCATATATCGGATTAGACCTAGGCCGGTTTTAACTTTTAAGCAAAAATTGGCCGACATATGTACTATGGAATACTATTTTGTTACAATATTTCGAATATATATGCTGGATTAGACTTGAGCCGTTTTCACTGAAATCTCACTTGATTTTATTTGGTTGAATAGATGTCTATTTATTGTGTAGTTTCCTATTATCATGTTTCGTTTGGCCTCTTCAAATCTGATTCAATTTGAGATTGAAGTCAGTTTAATTTTTAAGTGGATTCCCCCGGAATCGGGATTCTTCAAGTTTAATTGTGATGAGTCTGGTCGGGAAAGGAGAAAGGAAGCCGTAGCTGGTGGACTGATATGCAACCACATAGGTGAATGAGTGTGAGGCTTTATCGAGTACTAAATATTGGGAAAACTAGGGATGGACCCGGGCCGGGCCGGTTCCGGTTCCGGGCCGGGCCCGGGCGGGCTTTTTTTTCGGGTTACATGGGCCCGGAACCGGCCCGGGTTGATACCGGGTCCGGGCCTAACCGGGCCGGGCCGGGCCGGGCCCGGTTCAATGTTTTTTTTTTTTTTTTTTTTTTTTGACTTTCTTGTTATCTCCCTACCCCCCCCCCCCTCACCCCCACGCCCCAAACCTCCCTAAAACACCCAGCCCTACCCTAGGAAAAGAAAAAAAATTGAAAAAACCAAAAAAAAAAAAAAAAAATGAACCGGGCCCGGCCCGAACCGCCCGGGCCGGTTCAACAAAAATAGGGCCCGGAACCGGCCCGCCCGACCCGCCAAAACGGGCTAAAAGCCCGGAACCGGCCAACCGGGCCCGGTCCGGTTCGGGCCCGCACAGTAGCGGGCCGGTCCGGTTCCGGGCCGGTTCGGCCCGGCCCAGTCCATCCCTAGGGAAAACTGAAAGTTTTAAATCAGAGCTTTGAGCTATAAGATAGTGTTTATTGTAACCTCGTGATCACGATATCAATAGAGTTATTGTGAAAGTTGATTGTAAGAGTATGCTAAAAGCTGATAAGAATAAAGATACTTTCAACAACAATATAGGGGTGCTGGTTTGGGACTACCGAAAGCTTCATGCAGATGAAAGATTTATCAAATTTCAACACACTTTTCGCGAAGGAAATAGTTGTACCACTTGTACCGATTCAGTAGTTAATGCCGCTCACGAATCAGACAAAAGATTTTCAATACTTCACGAAGCACCTATCTGATTGAGAACCTGCTTCAGGAGGATGCTAATGGTTTCGAGCATACTAGATTCTAACATATTTTTATTAAAAAAAAAAGGCATCTTTATTGGTTTGTATCTACATCCAAATATCCAATCATACGGTGAAGTGTGATACAATTTGACACATGAATTATATGCATTAATGCTTGAATTAACATATGATGTAAATATGATAACTATTAAATTCATGTATATAAAATATGAATAACATAAAAAATTTAGAGTAATTTTTTTTTTGGCAAATTAGAGTCAATTTTCTTAATTGTTATTGTTTTTAGGAAAAAGGTACAAATACCCTTTTAGTATGAGTGCGGGAACAAATATATACATGTTTTGTTTTTTGGAACAAATGTACGTCTGAAGTTTATGTAGAAATGCATATATACACTTGGACATTTAAAAAGGTGCAAAAGTACCCCTCATATTTCTATGAAGGAACAAATTTACACTTGTTGACTTTAACTAGATAAAATAAATTTCAAAAAACACCAAAAATAAATTATAGATTTGAAATTGAAAAAAAAAATCTACTTGTGTTCAATACTTCCTTTTACTATTTTTATATCACAATTTAATATTATTAGTATAAAATATTATTTTAAAACTTTACTATATATTTAAGATGCTTTCAGAAAAAGTTGTACCATATGAAATGTATAAAAAGCATTAATTTTTTGTATTCTTTGCACTACAAAATTACATATTTTGTATGATGATAAATAGTCCAAGATTACAAAATGTTGAATTTAATTTAATTAAAGTTAAATAAAATCAAAGAATGTTATTTTAAAATGTAACAATGTGTTCAAAATCTCGCAGTAAGACTAAAATTAATATTTATGAATTTCAAGTGCTTCGTTTACATTGGAAAAATAATAATTTTGAAATTTAAAATTAAAGAGTTACTCTGTCTTAATATTTTAACATAAAAATAAATCTTAATTTTTAACTTTTTTTTTAATTTTTAATTTATAATTTGTTTTTGGTGTTTTCAAAATTTACTTTATTTATTTAAGTCAATACGGATAAATTTACTCCTTTATAGGAACATGATGGATATTTTTGTAACTTTTAAAAGTTCAGGGGTATATATGATCTTCCACATAAACTTCATGAGTATATTTGTTCCAAAAAATATACTCCATAATTAACAAAGATATATTTGTTCTCACACATATACTACAGGGGTATATATGTACTCCCCCCCCCCCCCCCTATATATGTAACTCTAAGAAATGATACTCCCTCCGTTGCCCTATAATTATTGTCCCATTTTTATTTTTTGGATGTCCCCCTATTATTGTCTAATACCATACTCCGTATTTGGTAACATCATTTGTGTAGCTCTAATTTATTATTACTTTATTCCCACTTTATCAACAAATAATCAATTGCATAATTCTACTTTTCTTAAAAATCACACCACTCTCATATGTCTCATATTAGGGGGACCATCAAATTATAGAAATCAAATCTACCCCAATCCAATATAATAAAACTTCAAATTCAATTATATAAAATAAAGGGAAAAATAATTAAAATACTCCAAACTTTGAAGGGGTGTGAGATGAACACCCCAAACATGCATATATAATTTAAATACCCCAAAGTTTATATAAAAAGTTATTTTAGCACCATAGTGAAGTATTATTTCTTTCCAAATTGTAAATTTATGGTGTTAATTGCATAATGTAAAATATTTTAGAATTCATGAAGACACAATTAACATTCTAAACTTCCATTTCAAAATAAATAATGTTACCCTCAATCTATATAATTGCAACACTTTTAATTTGTTATTTTAAATCATGCAATTAACCAGATAAATTTGCTTTTTTTGAAATAAATATTACGTGTCAATGGTGCGAAAATAATTTTTTATATAAAGTTTGGCATATTTAAATTCCAATTTTCAAAGTTTGGCGTATTATTATAATTTTTTCCTAAAATAAAAGGCATGAAATCTTGCCACATGAAGTAAAGGTAAAATCTTTGCACAGTTTGCCGCAAAACCCCTAAAGATAACTTCACAATTAAATCAAACCTAATGGCTAATACCCCAAAGACTTCAAAATTGAAGACTCCAAATACTCTAGCCTTTCTAAAACACAGGATAACGCAAGAAAGACCAAGTTAGATGAGTCGATTAGTTTTTATATAGAATGTCTTAGATCTTAAAGAATTTCTCACAGTAACAATAATGTATTTTATCATAAAATATATTTAATCTGAATTCCATTTTTTCTTAAACATGTAATAAATTTACAAGTTTCCCGGATACCAATAATTCTAATACCAACTTAATCTATTGAGTCTATCATCTACAAAAAAATGTTGTATGCTCCTCTTTTGTGATCTATTAATCCATTCCTCAAACCCGCATGAGTAGCTCAACGGTGGTTGTTGAATTGAGGTCTTAGGTTCAATTCCCCACGGCCACAATGTGAAAACGTCTGGACGATTAACACCTTTTTGGATTGAGTAATCAATACCTCAATCACATCTTACAAGTCCCACTTTCGTTGGATCATTACTTTTAATTGCATTTCAGCAACACTACACAATATTTTAAATTGTAAATCATGAGACTACTTTTAATGGGATGTATTATATGTAAATTGTACATCATCAAAGTCCTTTTTCTTTGAGCATAAATTGTAATACAATGTAAAAAATAACAAAAAAAGATCTAGAAAATTACAAAAGTACTCCCTGAATTCCATTAAGATTATACTCCGTCCCGCTAAGATTGTCTCAGACACTATTCACTTGGTCAACACAAATCACTCTTAATCTCCTATTTTATATATCAAATTTTATGAAATTTGATTCTGATTTTTGTGACTTTGTAAAGCTTTCAGTTTTTGAATATGTAATTTTTTTCTCTAAAATAATTTAAGTGCAGACAGAGATCTATTTGTTTTATCGTCGGTCAAGTATCGTAAATCAAATTATCCCAAACTTAGTGGGGCGATTGTCCCAAACTTAGTGGGGCGGAGGTAGTAACATACTTCCTTTGTGGTTCGTCTCATTAAAACTGTCTCATATCAAATTTGATAAAATTTATGTGCTACTAAATCATTCTTACTTTTTTCTTATTACTTTATCAATCTAATAGTAGTTATAATGGTAATACTATTACAAAAGTAGTTGTAATAGTAGTTATAATGGTAATACTATTACAAAAGTAGTGATTATAATGATAGTACAATTAACAAATTTTATGGTACGTTCAAATTGCCTTAACCATATGGGCAGAGTTAGAATATTGTACTTGTAAAAATTATATACTCGGTATAAAGAAATGATGAAATCATGATTTCCAAATGCATGACACTATGACATATGCATTAGTACATTATTACACTCATTTTATACGGAGTAATAGTTACTTTAACATTCACTATTTGCATTACCATCGTCCATCAAAATTTTCACATTTTATTTAATACGGAGTAATCACATTTCAATTTTTCTTACCTCATTCTTCAAAATGATAGGATAAAATAATTTAGAATAACAATTGTATAGTGATTGTACAACAACACTACACTAACCATAAAAAACAACACTACACTACCTATGCGACCAAGATATTTCGGATTTCCACACAGAGAACTACGTTATTGAGTTATTCATCAGCAGAAAAAGTGGCTAACTAAAATTTAACCGAGGTTTATATACTTTAAACCACATTGAAAAGAAAAGCTTCAAACGCAGGTTAGATAAAACAACGTGACTAATTATAGCACATGCCTCTCTCCTCGTACATCGTACGCCACCGCTTCTAATCTAATCTGTCGATCGGCGCGGTCTAATCACACCCCCTTTGGATTACGTCTTTGGCAATGTCTAAACCACGACGACTCTTTTCCGTTTTGTGGATCCGATGGCTCGGATTTCACCGCGGCCAAAGGAGGTTGCAGCCGCAGCTCGTTATCCTGCTCCGCCGATCCATGCTCAACCTCCCTCGCCCGCTTCGACCCGATCGGAACTCCAAATATTGTTGCTCTCGGTTCGCCAGGATCCTGTTCGGCCCCTCCGCCGCAAGCGGCAGTAGTCGGCATAAGATCCAGCGGCTTTATCGGTCTCGAGCTGCTTTCCGGGGTAGAATAATTCGACATCAACTGGTATATATTGTTGCAGAGTTTCTTCATTTCACTTAGCTCCTTGTTGAGCCGCGTGTTCTCGTTCCTCAGCCGTTCGTTCTCTCCGATGAGCTCCTCCGTGCTGCCTCCACGGGCTGCTTCCCGGATGGCTGTTCCGGGAGACGAATTGGAGGATACAACTTGCTCTTCGCACGAATTCGACGGCGATACCGTCTTTAGGGGAAGTGCGGGCACGGGAGCGACCACCGTGACCGCAGCAGAGGCGACAACGGTGGTTGTCGCAGCCACCCCTGCCGTCGAAACTTTACGACGCTGAATTTCGCATAACAAGCGTTTCTCACCTCTCTTGAAGAAATCGTTCGCGAATTCCCAGCGGTCCGGCACGACTTTCCTGAATCCCTGAAATTCATAATCAATCAACTCGAAATTAAAGCATTAAAGCCTCAAATCAAAATCCTCCGATGCGAACTTAAGGGATTCAGAACTTACGTATGTGTTGAGTTGTCTGACGAAGCTGGAGAAGTTGTTGTGCTTGAAATACTTGGGGAGCAAATCTCTGGCGAACTCAGTCGGATTCCACACGACGAAGGTAGATCCGTCGTGGTTCCATGAGATAACGTCGTCGACGGAACGGTCGTCGACGAGCTGGTACGTTTTCGTCAGAAACGGCGTCGGAGTCGTCCTCTGCGCCTCTCCGCTGACGGTTGCTTCTCCTCCGTTACGGTCCGCCGGGAACGGAGGACCCATAGATGATATTAAACCGTACCTGAATCGAAACAGAAACCATTAACAGATAAATCAAAAGTAAATTGAATCCAAATTTCAGAAGATAAATCAAAAGAGCGGGACGAACTTTGAAGAAGTAAGTGGTGCAGATCTGGTGTTCAGAGTAACGCCGTCGATGAAGGTGGTGGAGAGGGAGGGAAAGGAGGGTGGTAGCGAGGAGGGTGGGAATGAATGGTAATTCTAGAAGGTTCGGACGGGTGGATGGTACTTATTTGGGTTAGGTATGGAAACAGCTGGAAGGTACAGTAAATACAGGAAAGTTCAAGAATGCGAAAAGAATTTTAAAGAGGGGAGATTGTGGTATTTAAGGATTTTCGAGAAGTTTCCTTCCAGATATGTTACGACTTATAGGCGTCGTCCATTCCGAAATCCTGATAATGACTATTGGTTGAGAAAAAGAGAAGTGTTATCGCATTGGTGAATAAAATAAAATTATATCCAGGGGCGGAGCAAGAAAAATGATTCAGCGGGGTCGAAATCAAATTTGCATAGAATCAAAACGGTAGATTATTTTTAGACAATACTCGAATTGAATGTAGGTTAGATAAATGATAGTTTAAATGAAACTAATAGAGTATATGTAGTTAATATACTTCGTATGACACATATATTATAAACTTGTTTTATACGGGTTGAGTTGAGTAACTCGGATGAGACCCATTGTCTTACCCTAATACTCTATGGTTCTCTTCAATCTTACTCGGTTTAGTATCAAAATTTCTTACTTACCAATTTCAAACTTAAATAGTGCTGATTTTGCAGAAGTCATAACTTTTTACTCGTAATGAGTTACGAGAGTCATAATATATCAAATCGAAGATATTTCAAAGCTCTACACTCTTAAATTTTCAGCGGGGTCGGCTGACCACCCTGACCCCCTAGTAGCTCCGCCCCTGATTATATCCGAGTTTAACTAAATTTGTTGCTGATTTTTTTATATAATAAACACAAAATTAAATAATTTTATGAAATTATGCTTATTATATGAAAAACAAAGTGACAAAACTACAAGGGAGACTTGATTACACATTTTTTTGTATAATGCAGTTTTTTTTAAAGTTGTTTAATACAGTTATGCCTTATATTTTGTTTTTTTTGACAGACTGTTATGTCTTTATTACAAAAACTCACGCATTTTAGAACCCAAAATTTAAAACAAATCACAAAAACTCGTATTCTCAAAATTATTGAGGCATTTTTTCATGACTAAATTAAACTTAAATGACAAAAATATGATTTATTTTAAAATTCTCCAAAAAATGACATACTCCTTTTTCCCACTAATATAGTCTCATTTTATCTTTTCGGAAAATCTCACTAAAATTGTCTCATACCAAATCTGCTAAAATTTGTATGACTTTAAATCATTCTTGTTTTATTCTTATTTTGTCAATTAATATCAACCACATAAATTCATTTTTCTTAATAACTGTGTCACCTCTTTTCGTGGAACGGAGGTAGTATTATTTAATAACTACTCCCTCCGTCCCACTATGATTGTCCCATTTTACCATTTTGGTCCGTCCCACAAAGATTGTCCCATACCTTATTTGGTAAAGTTTGTGTGGTTCTAAATCATTCCTACTTTATTCTTACTTTATCAATTCAATATCAACCACATAAACCCACTTTTATTAATAACCGTGCCACCTTCTCTTGTCCCAAACTTAGGGGGACGGAGGTAGTAGTTCACAATGACTCGTCATCTACAACGACTTGTCATTCTAATATACGCTTAAGTGACTATTTCACAGTGATTCATAAACACGGAGTAGTCATATTTTTGTTCAAAAACATAACTGAACATATTTTCATCCGGAGAAACTTTATTACTAGTATACATGTCCTTTTTTCAATTCCGAAGTCTTTTATTCCTAGTTTTTTTTTTAAAAAGTCTTTTATTCCTATTTGTGCCTACGGTGTGAGAGCTCTTGCTTCTCTCTAAAAACCTAGCGGCTGTCTCCCTTTTTTTGTAGGGGTTGAGATTTTCCGACGCCCCTATCAATATGGGGCTGGAGCGGCAGATTATTCTGATTGCAAGTGTTCTAATGCTTGGGATTGCAACTACGTTGAAGGAAATAACGTTGGCGGATAAACGGATTGCGATTGAGAGTTTGTATCAGTGCTAGATCGTGAAGCCTTGGTCGGCTACTCCGGCAGTGGTGGAGGAGTTGGTATTCACCCATATTGCAAGAGCTTGTCCTCCTCCGCAATCACCTTCATACCAGGAAAAGTTTTGTAGAAAGATTTTATTTCAATATTATTTTCTCTTTACTAATACTTGTTTTTGTTTTAGTCCGAGTAGATTTGGTTTGAATGTTTTGATTTTGGTAATCTTTTGATAGTCAAGGTTTCAGATCCGTTCGTTTTAGGCTTATATTTGCCCGTTTTAGATTTAGTGAGTCAAGTTACATTGTATGAGGTGACTAATTCTATGTCTACTCCTAGGGTTCATGATTGAATCTGTGAAATCTGTCTAAAGATTGTCTTGTATCCGTTCTCGATTTTAATATAACGCCGTCTGTTTTACGATATAAAAAAAGTCTTATTCCTAGTGACATAAAAATGATCAAAAGAAAAGAGATAAAAAAAAAGAGGAAAAGCAAACGAGAAAAAGAAAAGGAAAATAAAAAAGAAAATGCCAAGCGGGCACTTAACCGGGAAATTGGATTTCCACCGGCTAAAAAGTTTAATTGACCATTTTTTAATAGTTCAAGTTTTCAATTGAATGTTTTTAAAATATGAGGGCAATCGGCATTGTGAGTATAGTATGGGGCTTATGTTTTTGTCTAGTTCAATGCACCAAAACCTAGTGATATACTCTCTTTGTCACTATTTAAAAGTCTCACTTCCTTTTTGCGCACATATTAAAAAATGACTCTATTTGGCACCGTTTGAACATTATTAGTTCACTAAATAAAGAAATGAAACTTTTTTAAAGGACGACCCAACAAGGAATGCAAGACTTCTAAATAAGGATGGAGGAAGCATAAAGTTGGCACATTAGTCCCCTGTAATTTTTAAAAACACGTAAGTCGTTTGTAACACCCCACCCGGCCCGGCCCTGCCGACCCGAGTGGCGCGTCACTTGGCGGAAAATTAGAACGGATTTAATCAAAAATACTTTTCGTGGTTAAAGAATTAGTGCCTTTTCTTTTTACTTTAAACACAAAACATTTAATAAGGGATTTTATTACTTAAAAATAAAGTGTATTAACTCCAAAACGACTTCATTACTAAATACCAGAAAATGTCAAACTCATATGGAGTAGAATGTTATTAAAAACAGACATAACTTAAACATCATACAACACTTCAAGGAGTGCAGCGGAAGTTCTTAAAATCACATATGACATATTAAAGTCCTTTATTTTAAAATAACCAAATACATAGCATGCAAATGCGTCCTACGCCTCTTTCCATCCCTGTGCTCCTAGCGGGTTCCGTGCTCAACCTACGGGTAGGAAAACACACAACTACCCGCTCAGCAATGTGCTGAGTGGTACGGTAATAACATAACAATAATATTAACATATCAAAGAACATATTAACATATCATAATTCACATCTGATCAGACAAACATATAACATACCTGGGTGAACCGAGCAGCTGTTATAAAAATACAGATATTTACATACAGAATAGCATCATACTCAGATATCATAACTGTCAAATAATTTTATTCTGAGATAATTATTATATTCTTCTTGTGTACAGAACAGAAGCATATTCAGATAATAATTCACATCTGATCAGACAAACATATAACATACCTGGGTGAACCGAGCAACTGTTATAAAAATACAGATATTTACATACAGAATAGAATCATACTCAGATATCATAACTGTCAGATAATTTTATTCTGAGATAATTATTACATTCTTCTTGTGTACAGAACCGAAGCATATTCAGATATCATAATGATCAGATAATTCTTATTCCGAAACTTATCATTGAAAAATACATATTCATTTAGCCTTGAACTCTAGAATCTGGATCTAGACCGAGGAATACTAACGGTAAGGAATACGGTCGATCGAAGTCCGTACCCACATTACCCAGAAGGAATATGGAAACGTAATCGCCGGAGCTACACGTACCAATTCCTGACAGAAGCTAGCTGAACAGAAAGGACGAGATCACCGAAGAGACCCGAACCTTAACAGGAGAGTAATAGTGCTCTAAAAATATTTCAGGAGTGTACGAAGTACACTAAACAGAACAGGAGTGTACGTAGTACACTAAACAGGAGAGCACTACTTCCTCTAAACAGAATTTCAGGAGTGTACGTAGTACACTAAACAGAACAGGAGTATCCTAGTCAGAGTACCGGATCAAGAGCAAGGCTTTTTCTAAAACGTTCATCTTTTAATTTATTTACCCCATTAAAGACAACATTTCTTATGGTAATGATAAAAAATATAATCCAAAAAAAAAAAAAAATAAGCTGCGGCGCACGTCCAAAAATAATAGTCCAAGTTTACGAACTTCATTTACTGTCACTATATATAAATTGATTAAGAAGATTTTAGGAGGAGCTAATACATACTTACGTGAGCAGTCTTAGCACCAACTTATCCAGTGCTTCATTTCAACCGTATGGTATACATTTATATATAGTGTTATATAATCTGATATAACTCAGACAAGTACACCTTGCATGCACGTGTATTAGAAGTACAAATTATATACTCTGTAATGGGTGTATTTAGTTTACATGCGATTTTACATAAATATCGGTTAGCTACATTAGTGCATGCCTTTATAATACTACGTAATATTATATATATAATAAAAATTGTATATATATTATAAGCACATACTTGCACACACACATATAATATCCCATGCATGCATATATGTTATTCTGGTAGTTTTACTATCATAAATAATATCTCGTAAATTCCTAATATATGTGTTCATTTAACTTTTAGCTAATCAATGCATGCATGCACGTGTGTATACCTCACATTCATACATTATAGTAATATATATGCATAATAATATACGTACACTAAGTTTTCAATATGTATGTGCATGCATGTAAAATTTGTATTATTGAGACATGTAATAAACAAATACCTTTTTAATACAAAAACATGTACATAGCAGCTTGGTTTAAAACGTGGAATCAGTTAATCCTACTTAGCTAAGTCAAATTTTTGGGGATCATTTATCACTTAATAATATCTAAATTTGCTCTTAAATTTGACTAATCAATTGGTCTATATATCAA